AATTTTTCTGCAGCGGCGACACAAATTTGTAGCATACGCAAAGGGGCCAAATTTGGAGGGCTGCTTGCTGCATGCTCCTGGTCGCCTGGTAGAATTCTGGGATTTTGGCACCAAATGAAATGCAATTTTTATGCGACGGCGGCAGCGGCGCCGGCCGCGGATGCGCCACAAATTTGCGTGGTGGGTATTGCATACGCAAAGGGGCGAAATTTGGGACACGGATGTGTACATATGTAATAGCCGGATATGGGGACAGGTCCTTGACCGGAAGCGGAAGTAAGGAACCCACTTCCGGTTTGAGCACGAAACCGGAAGTCACAAAACGGAACCGGAAGTTGGGCTTGTTTCCGGTTCAGCATCCAAACCGGAAGTCGTGAACCGGAAACGGACGTCCCGCACCGGAAGTGGGGTGCCCATTTCCACTTCCGGTCAAGGACCTGTCCCCATATCCGGCTATTACATATGTACACATCCGTGTCCCAAATTTCGCCCCTTTGCGTATGCAATACCCACCACGCAAATTTGTGGCGCATCCGCTGCCGGCGCCGCTGCCGCCGTCGCAGAAAAATTGCATTTCATTTGGTGCCAAAATCCCAGAATTCTACCAGGCGACCAGGAGCATGCAGCAAGCAGCCCTCCAAATTTGGCCCCTTTGCGTATGCTACAAATTTGTGYCGCCGCTGCAGAAAAATTTCATTCAATTTGGTGCCAAAATCTGAAATTTCTACCAGGCGACCAGGAGCATGCAGCAAGCAACCGCCGAAATCATGTGAATACAAAAATGCTTATAACTTCTAAACTAATGGTCGTAGAGAAAAAGTAAAAATGCAGAAATTTGCAGAATCGCATGGAGCATCTTTTTATTAAAGAATTTTTTAATTTGGAGTGACACAGAAATTTAGAAAAATAAAAATGTGCTCCAAATCGCCGTTTTTTGAGGAGAAAATCGTCAAAATGCCTTTTTCTCTTAATTGGGGGTGTTGAAATGGGTTGTGGGAGGATTTCCGAGCATCTCGCTATTTATTCCCAGTCCAAAACTTTTAAATTGGAACATTTTGTCCATAAACGATTAGTTATTGATCACAGTATCCAACT